AGCAAGAGCGAGACCCCGTCTCTACCAAAAATAGAAAGAAATGAATTGGACAGCTAAAAATATATAGAAAAAAAATTAGCTGGGCACGGTGACGCATGCCTGTAGTCCCAGCTACTCGGGAGGCTGAGGGAGAAGGATCGCTTGAGCCCAGGAGTCTGAGGTTGCTGTGAGCTAGGCTGACGCCACGGCACTCTAGCCCGGGCAAAAGAGTGAGACTCTGTCTCAAAAAAAAAAAAAAGAAACAACTTCATGTGGTGGAGACTCTATTTTCCCTCTTTTACAGCAGAGGAAACTGAGGCTTGGAGGGGCTTAAGTGATTTGCCCGTGGCCATCAGCTGCGACAGAAGGTAAGTAGAAATAAGCTGAAGAAATGAGATCTCCTCGGATCCTCAGATAAGGTGCTGGCCTCTAAAACTTAAGGAAGGAAATGGCAATGGAGAGGAGGGGGAATGTTTTCTCACACACAAGGATAATTAGGACAGATGGTGAGTTACGCCCAGACTCCACGCTCGCTGAAGGATGCTCCTGGTTCCTCCACACACGAAAAAGAAGCCACAGGCTGGAGCAAAAGTCTTGCGGGCAGCCGACACTCCAGCCCAAAGAGAACAAAGAAAGGAGAGGGAATGATCAATGCCTGTCATCCCCTCTGCAACGGCTCCAAATTAAGTCATCTTTTTAGAGGAGCACGACCACTTTAATTTTTAAAAAGATAAAGGGGGAAACTCTTACATATTTTACAAAATGAAATAATCATCCGGAGAAATGGGAAGATCTAGAAGGGACCTCTCTTCTTTTCCTGATCAAAACGTACTTCCCTAATTAACGGACACTGGTCTCCGAAGAGTCGACCTTTGACGAGTTAATAAAGCCCCATTATACTTCAGTTGCGATGTGAACATTTACATCGCAAAGGGGGATAAATGAACCGCAGGATTCAAAATCCTTCCTCCAGTCGCTCATTAAAATTCTGGTCAAAACAGGTATTTATTTATATGAGACATTAAAGAATATTATGACAGTCCTAATATGAAATCTGTTCTTCACCGCCACGGATTGTCTTTCGTATTAAGTCACAGTTTCTTTCCACCAGTCTTGCTTTAACACCTCCACGCAATATTTCTCTGGCGAGTGTTAGCAAGGAGGGACAGCCAGGAAGCAGAGAAATGAATTCCAACCGAAACGCACGCCGACATGTCATTTACATGCTCCTCACCCGGCCCACGAGGGAGGGGCACGGATCACCCTGCCACCGTGACCCTAACACAAAGACACCGAAGTTTTATTGAAGCGAGATAAACAATAAATAAATACGGCCTGACTTAAAGTTCTACATTCCTGCCAGCTGGGTTTTGGTCCCCAACACTGACTGCAGTCTGAAATACTGGTGGCCAGGCTCAGATTTTATTTGGTGAATCACTATAGACAGGGAAGGTCTCCCCACTCTGCCCCAACTCCCAACCACCATGCAACCTCGGCAATGACCAGGTGGCCTCACCGGGGTTGAGCAACTCTAGAACCGTCTGAAAGGATAGCTCAAGGGGGCAGATGGAGAGATACTACGAGACGGATATCAACAATGGGATAACGTCACAGAGGGAAGGTGAACTGCACAGGCCCAAGAACAGGGAATTTCAAAGTCCTGAGACTCTGGCTAGGGGTCTCCTCAGCACAGCCCGCCAACCTCTCTGAGCTGGTCTCCTGTTCCATAACAGAGGGGCCATACCCCTGGTATGGCTACTCCCCACTGGTAGCACGCTGGTAAACGGTCCAGTTCTGGAGCAAGATGGCCTGGGTGTGTCTGTTAGACCTCCATTTGTGCCTCAGTTTCCTCATCTATAGAATGGAGCTGATACTAGTACCCACCTCATAGGGCCGTGTGAGGATTAAATGGATTAACATACATAAAGCCCCTACAACAGTACCTGGCACACAAATTCAATTACTCGCTTTTTCACAGGATTGGTGAGAGGGCCTCACAAAAATAACACTAAAAATAGCCAGTAACACTCACGTGCTGTTACCGTGCCCCAGGTCTTTCTTTTTTTAAGCATTTTACCTTTATTAATTTATTTAATCTGCAGAAAAACTCTACGAGATGGGGAAACTAAGGTACAGGGAAGTTAAGGGATTTGCCCAAACTCACAGGGCTAAGGAGTGGCACCGTCAGCATCTGAACCCACCCAGGCTGCCAACCTCATAAACGACAATCCTAACGATGAGAAAACCAACAACGTAAATGGCGGACAATGGTGATGAGTTGCAAGGCCCTGGTCACACACTCCGCTCTTTCATTCTTCGCAAAAGCCCTCTGAGGGAGCTACCATCATCACTCCCATTTTACAGATGAGGAAACTGAGACTGAGAAAAGGGGATCTGCTCAGGGACAACAGTCTAATGCCACCGGGATTCAGACGGAGAATGGCAAAGTCCTTTGTAAAGTGAAGCGTGCCATCAAAAGCAAGGTATTATTGTTAAATCCCTAGAATTCCTTGGAAAGACGTCCTCCCCCCACTGGTTTAATGTTAACTCAGATCTAAAAGTCTGTCAATTCACCTATAAACATCCTAGACTTGGGACTAGGGGTGGGGGAGGAAGGCACACTGTGACAAGTTTCAGAAATACTCTGTCACGTTTTCAAATTGAATGTATCACTGAAAAACCACACAGCAGAGTATATTAAAGCGAAATACTGCTTTCCTAGTTTTACAGTTGGGGGAGGGGACAACAAAGGGGAGAGGAAAATAGGTCAAACCCATGGTTTGACCAAGTCAGGGATTTTTCCAGTTTCCCTCTAGGGGAATCTGATCTAAGTTCTGAGTGATCAAATGACTAACCTGGAAATTTGAAGATTCACACTTACGGAAGAAACAGCAATTCTTCCAAACCCAGGAAATACTGCTAATTCTCAGAAGCCTTCTGAAATGTGAAGGATCATACATAGTATGGGAAGCAACTAACATGGTTAAGACAATCCCAAAGTTTGTGCTAAGTACAGAAATAATCTAATCTCTTTAGTTCATTAATTGCTATCCTTTGCTCAAGTATTAGGGGAAAAAAATGCCTTAAGAAAATATTTCATTCTATTTACTTAGGGAATTATGCTTCCTTCTTAAGAAAGAGAGAGCAAGAAGGAAAGAAGGAAGGGAAGGAAGGAAGAAAAGAAGAAAAGAAAAAAATAAATCATGTGGCAGACTCCAGACCTGAAATTCTCAAAATACCATCCACAACAGCCAACTTTTTCTATATTAATATGCAAAATCATTCCTCCCTTTACATAATTAAAAGGTTCTGCTTCTGGGAGACTATGCTTAAAGAAATAGACTGAATTTGCTAAAGCCACAGCCCTTTCCTTTTCTGACTGACAATCAGAAGCTTCAACTTTTCCCCTGTCCCTAAAAGCATGTCAAATCCACAAGATGCAGAAAAAAATACTTCTTTCAATGTTATACAGGGAACAAAAAGTATAACTAAAAGTGAAAATTTAACATGTAAGCCATAAGCCCTTCACATTTAACCTTAGGCTTCGTGAGGCTGTGTTCTTCACAGCCATACCTGGCAAGCTCAGTGAAAACTATGTTAACCACACACTTCTGAAAAAGTGAAGCCCTATCTTGATTCTTGAAGCAAGTCTTGTAGTACCACTCTTACAAGGTTACAACATTTCCAGAACTTCTCCACCCAGGCACCAGCACTTGCACAAACAAGCAGCACTATTGGTTTCAAGTGTACCCTGATCTATCCAACCAACCTGAAATGAAGACATCCACTGCTTCCTCTCTGAGTTAGGGCTTTGTGGATCTACGAAGTTGTTTTTTCCAAGAAAGGATAAGCTGTTTACTGAAATTCTACTCCTGCCATAAACTCCAAGTTATAAGGCCCCAAAAGAGTACCCTCCAGAAAAGAATCACAAGGAAATGTTCAACTTTTCCTGATACGATCTCAGCAATGCTTAAAAAATAAACAGAACGCTTGCATAAGTATTGCAATAAACGGAGCCACGTCCTCCCACCAAGGATCAAACGTGTCCTTGCCCTCAGTTGGGTGCTCAGAACCCACCTTGGGATGGCTAACTTGGAGACGCATTGTTATCTCACAGAACTCCTTGCCTGGACTTCTCACCATCACATGCAGATACCCTGAAGGAACAGCGTACACCAGGTTTCAAAAGTTCATTGCCAAAGCTCTGTTTGAGACTTGAAATCCTTGGCAACCATCTCTGAGTGCTAAAAATCTTATCGTCGATTCTCCTACTTACCTTGGGTTGCGCTCGACGAGGAAATGCAACTTTGGGGTCAATCTGGGAAAAAATGGAAAAGTAGGAGTCAATGAAGTACTTTGAGGAGAAGAAAAAATGATTAATCACCTAATTATTAATCACTCATTTCTCAGGCTTATAACGCAGCTTTTAGTAACTTCTCGAGCAATTCCAAAGTTCCTTAAACTTTGATCTCAACTTTAATCGCCCCTCTCAAAATGGAACTAAATACAACTAGCCTTTCTGAAATGTCTCCCCATGCATTTCAGTGTGTGATGCTCTTAATAAACCAGATCTCACGTATTCTTATTTAGGCAAGGGCTTTTTCCTGCACAGACGCTGAATATTAAATGGTACCTGCATCTAATTTGTGATGCATGGCTGGGAGAAAAGATGGGAGCATCATTATCATTGGGAAAAAAATCATAACCTGAAAATTAAATCTAAGTATTTTCTAGCAGCAGGTAATTGGATGGTATTTCTTCTCCCTGATGAAAACTAAACAACACAGGAAGGGAAGGGGCTTCCAAAAATTTAAAAAATCAACAACATCCAAAAATTCCCCATAGACATCCAACACAAGGCTCTGCTTGAATTAATTCACCAGTTTTCGTGATAGCAAAGTACCCAGGATTAATCAAAAAGATCATTTGTTTTGTAGTTATACCTCAGAAGATTAAAAAATAATAATAATAATAAAAAGAAAAGAAAAGGAAGCACATGAGCTAAATCTACCTGGATTTTATAAACAACAGGGGGTAAAAAGTCTATGAGCAATATAAACCCAAATTAGAAAAGAGACCCCATCATGGGGAATGTTAAAAAAAATTATTGAACAAAAGAAGTCAGAATCTATGCAACAATTAGGGGAGTCCCCACTCCAACCTCAATTCAAATGGAAAAACATCCTCCACTCCAAATCAGACACTTGCAGAGCATATGATTCTCAAGTCGGGATCTAGCTTTACAACTCAAAACAATTCCCACAGAAGCATTTGAATCTAACAGGCCGATTTGAGGGGGAAAAAGTTACTGCACAGATAAAAAGAGGAGAAAGGGAATTTTTAAAAAATTTCCATTGTTGGTTTTCATCAGATTTCTAAATGTCACAAATCTTTGGGTAAAATTCAACACGGAGGATAACATAAACATTGCTATTGCTACAAGTTATTTATTTATAGGCTTTAGCTTTCTTATTAAAAAGTTTCCCTTTTAAAAAGTAAATGTGAACCTTGTTTTCACTTCTGCCATGGGGGGGAAAAAGAGTAATGCTTTGGGGAAAAGCACAGGGGTGGGGAGGTGGGAAGCACACCACAGGTGACAGTCCCTTTGCTCCCTGACTTACATCGTCCAGGACCCCCAGCCAGTAAGACATGCAAGGATTTACCACTTTTATTAAGGTGGTTTAAAGAACTAATAAAGGTCTGCATTGTGTTTTCTAACCTTTAAACATCACCTGAGAAATGAGAGATTACTTTTCAAAAATTAAATAGACAAAAATCTCTGAGCTAGGAAACTACCCTTTCGTAAAGATTAACATTACTGCATCTACAGGTGTGTCCAGCACTGACTAGAGCTTGTCTACAAGAGAAATACAACAGGTGTGGATTTTCCATTCTGTTGACCAAACGTAAGACAGTGGCGTCTTTTCATAAGCACTCCTCAAACGTTTTTTTTTAGCTCACCAGCACACAATTGTAATCAGAAATCACCTTGTTTGGGGGGGTAACAGGTGAGGGGCACGTCAAGGGAGGAGCCAGGAGCTGGAAGAAGTCAGGTGCAATGGAGAAGATAAAGCACTGAAAAAAAAAATCTAAAATCGCAAAACTAAAAAGCCAATTCAGAACTCCTGTACTGTGTGCGGCAATGTCAGCGAATTAAATCACAATCCGAGTTCTCCCGTGTGCAAAGTTTGCACGCTGAGATCTCCAAAGCAGAGGAGAGGTCAAGTTCAGCATGGCAAATCCCAACCTTTTGCACATCCCTGTCAACTATTTTTTAAAAACAAACAAAAAAGAAAACTACCAAAAATTAAAACATTAGTTAGTTAGGTACAGCTCTACTTACTGTATCTACAAGTCCTCTAGGAAAAGACTAGGGTACTATTTTTGATGTGAATGGCCGTTACCTAAACAAAGCTTTTAAGGTAACGGTAAACAAGATCCTCGTTTCCATGTCAATAAACCAACCGCTTCTGCCTCCTGCACTGAACGGTTTGAAACAAAGTCAAAAGCTAGGTTATACTAAGTAATAGCGACCACAACATCTCTACAAACAATCAGGGAGGGAAAACTGCTGGCTTTGCACCTGATACCGAGGGATCCGACCCACCAGCCACCACAGAAACCAAACACTATTTCTCCCACCCAGGCAGGGAGAGGGAGTGGATAATAAATTCCCAAATTTGCCTTGAAATGATTTGCATCCTTAATTTTACTAGCTTTTTGAAATGTCTAGCCAAAGTCAAGGAGAAAAAAATTCTTCAGACATCCCTTATTTCCCTACAAATGATCATTCCTGAAATTAAATTATTTCAAAGTACAAAAAGGTTGGGCCCCAAGCTATGACAAGTCCAGTACAATGAATAAAGCCACTAAGAGTGTGGTGGGGTCTTTTCATGGGGAGAGGGGCATGCACCTGATCTCTTTGACTAGGGAAAAGAGGGTGAATTTGCAAAATCAATTCAAGTGCATGGAAGGTTGCCAGTTTCTTTTTTCTTTTCTTTTCTTCTCTTTCCTTCAATATTAAAGCCAAAAGGGGCTTGAAAGATCATCCCAGTCCATTTATTTTACAGAAGAGAAAACTGAGACCCAGAGGCAAGGAGAGACTTGGCCAAGTTCAGAACAGGCAGCTGGAACCAGAACCCCATCTGTGGCCTCGTCCCACTACCTAACACAGAGAAGTGAAGTTCCAGGCAGCCCAGCCCATGTCATTTTAAGGCCCCTACTGTAGGCAAATATATAAAAACCATGGGGAAATTCTGGTAGACATAAAGGGAAGAGAGGAGAGGCAGGAAGCCAGCACAGGAGCTAAATAAAACACTGCAAACCACCCCCCACCTTTAAATTTATTATTATACACAGACACTTTTTCTTCCCTTCCTCTTCTGACCTGTACCTTGGGCCTTTTCCCCCTTCAACTCTGCATTTTAAAAACTTCTAATGCTATCAAAGTACCCACACTCAAATGAAAAAATCCTAGAAAAAAGAAAAAAAAAATCACTTTGAAACCCAAGGCCTTATCGCCTTAGATTTCACGCCATCTGGAGTCACCCACTGGATGCCTGGCTTGGCTATGCCGGCGTCTCCTTCTCTCCTCAGCCCGCACTCCAAATCCCAAGTGCCCCAAGAGGAACCTGTTGCCTGGACCTGTAATTAGCGCCCCCTCCCCTGCATCCCACCCTCGTCCCCATCAGTAGCAAAGCCGGCTGTGGCTTCTCTTAGCTGATTCCCACAGCCACAGTTGGTACTGCGTGCTGGGCTCAGCTGACAAAGAAAAGTTGCATTTGCTCTCTGGTGGAGTTTCTCTGCACAGTCCCTTGGCGGGCAAGATAGCCTCTCCCGGAGCCGAACCCCCTCCCGGCCTAGCCTAAGCTTGGCAGCATCCGAAGCTGTACTGGGACAGGCTCTAAAACCAAAACCCCAAACCCAGCCACCGCGGCAAACTTTTGAGCCAACTCACTAGCTTGATATATAAAAGTACCCAGCTCTAGCATAGAAGCAAAAAAAAAAAAAAAGGCGCTGTCCCTTTAAATAGGGCTGTCAATGCCCAGATGGTTCCTGAAAAGGGCGAACAACAACAACAACAACAACAACAAAAAGCAACCTACCGTCTTGGAATCTAACTCATGGTGGGGCTGACCTAATACTTTATCTACACTTGCTGGGTCTGCGAACGTGACGAAACCGAAGCCTCTGAAAGGAGACAAAGAGGGAGAAAAACAAACAAGAAAATGTGACACCATTGAAAGCAACAAGGAGTGAGACCTAATGCTGAACGGGGAGCAAAAGTTGCCCCCCAAGCGCCCCCGCTCCCACTCGCCACCCCCAATTCCCCTCCTGCCTACAGCCCTCCACCTAGCACGGAGAAACATCCAGGTTGGGGGAAGTGAAACGGGGGCAGGGCGGGTGGAGGTAACTTGGAAAATGCTGGTGCCTCACTCTTTGGACACCTCAGTTTCCTCTCCTCCCCTTCCCTTTCTTAAGGCTTTGTTTTATTCCGGAGAAAGCCCGGCACTTAGAAGAGATTCGCCCACCAAAGAGAGGTCTTAAGAGTTTGGGGAGCTGGGAGTGTAGGGGAAGCATACATTAAAAAAAAAACTATATGAAAAGTCAATGAAGCTGAATGTCATTTTAAACAGAGAAAAAGCAGCCACGGTAAAATGACTTAAAGCGGAGAGATGGGTATCTCTGTACCCAGAGTTCAGCCGCAGTTAACAATAAGCTCTGGGGTTACGGGGCCGGGGATGGGGGGGATAGGGCGCCGTTCGAGATCAGCCACGCGCCCGAGCCCCATTCTAATCCGCTTAGCTACTTCCGAAGACACCTCCAAAAATAAAACTTAAACTTTGTTCTAAAATAAAGACAAAATCCAGAAGGGAATGGTTTACCTGGAGCGTTTCGTAGTGGGATCTCTCATGACCATACATTCTCTAATTTCTCCAAATTTGCTAAAATAGTCTCTAAGGCTATCTGTAGAGAGAGAAAGAGAGAGATGGGGGGGTGGGGGAAGAAGGTGTGGAAAAAAAAAAGCAATGCAAATTTCGATCAAGGACAAAAACCAAAAGTAGTTTTCTGTTGTTATTCTGTTTTGTTTTTGCATTTTTTGCACACGCGGGGGAAATTCGGCAACAGAGGTCGCGTAGAGGGCTCGGAAAGGATTTGCTATTAAAAAAAAAAATAACCTTGCACAGGAGAAGTGGGGAGCCAATGGCGGGGGGGGCTCCTACACCGGGATAACAAAGAGCAATAAAGAAGCCAAGAAGGGGGGGACCCAGGCGTCCCCCCCTCCCTCCCTTACCTGGTGAGGTCTGCCAGCTCAGTCCACCGATAAACATTTTACTAGAGGGAGAAAACATAACAGAAGTGAGCACCGATGTCAGATCGGCCATTTTGACGTGTAACTTACAAAAGCTAAAAGGAAAGCGGGGAGCGAGCCAGCAAGAGCCGGGAGGTGGGGTGGGGGAGAAGGTGACGGCGAAATGCAATCCAAAGGTGTGTAACTTCCACGGGGGGGGGGCGCGCGGGAAGGGCGGGGGGGCGCGGGAGATGCCCGGCTCCGCGCACCGCCGTCCCCGCCGCTGCAAGGAGAGCGAGCCCGAGGCGGCGCGGTGGGCAGCGGCTGGAAACTTACCCGGGGTCGTGCTGGGAGTCGTTGGCGCTGCCCGAGGTGCCTTGGCTCCCATTTGCCTCCATATCTGAGCCCCCCCGCCCCCCCACCCCCAAAAAACCGAGCCCCACAGCGATCGGAGCGGAGCGGCGGCCGGCTCCGAGCCCCGAGATCTCCGCTCCCTCCTCCCCCTCCTCCTCCCCCCCGCCCGGGCTCCTCTGAATCTCTCAGCGAGCGGCGGAGCCGGGGCAGCGGCTAGAGCCGTCACACGTGGGCTCGGCTTAGCTCAGCCCCGCTGCCTCGCACACCCCCCGCTCCTCCTCCTCCTCCCCCTCCTCCCCGGCGCACGTGGGGCGGAGTTCTAGAACGTCGTGTAACCAATGCCGGTGACGTCACGCACCCCGGTGCGGCCCCCGCCTGCCCGCGCGCGCACACTCGGCCCCCAGAGGCCGGACCCACGGGGGTGGCGCGCGAGCCCCGCGGCCCGAGGGGGCCCCGCCTCCGGCCTGGCTGGGCGCCGGGCGAGGGGAAGCGCGCCCCGACTTCCCTGGATCACATGGGCTGCCGGGGGGAGGGTGGATCGGGGGAGGGGGAGGCGCGGGGAGCTTGTCGCGGCTCCTCACCCGGACCTGCGAGAAGACGCCCCCCACCCCTTCCAGTTCGGCCTCTCCATTCAAGTTTGCCAGCCCCTGCCGCCAGGATCCGGGGATGGCACCAGCCGCCCGCCCTGCTCTGCGCCCTGTTTCCAGCCACCGCGCGGAAATTTAGGTCAAGGACGTCGGGAGCAAACCCACACCCTGGTGCTCCTCGGGCGGCACCCGAGACCCCCCAGGATCAGGGGGCTTCAGGATGGCGGGGACCCTCCCGCACAAACACCAGCCACAAGTTTTATTTTGGTTTCGCGCTGGAAGTTCTCTGGCTCTCGCTCCACACCGGCACGTCTTGCGCTGCTCCCCGCCCTTCCCCAGCAGAGGTACGAATCCGTGCCCGGGAAAGGTTATTTTGGAACTTTAAGAAACTGACGCGATTCCAGTGGCGAGAAAGTGCCGAAGAAAGGCTTTCCGCGTTAATCATACAGCGTTTTAAAAATATAATAAAATAGGTTTATAGGGGTCAAGGTCAAATAATTGGGGTTCAAAGCAAATGTTTGTATATAGTGAGAAAAAGTTTTGGAGCGTGTCTGGGATGGCTGGGAAGGGTGGTTATTTCAGGAAATCCCTCTCTAACACGTTTTGTTGTATATTTTGTTATTTCTCAGGCTCTGTGTGCCACGGAGTAAAATACATGGCATTGAAATAGCCCCAAGACGCCTCACGACCTGGGGGCGAGTCGGGGGAGGTAGCTGGGGTAGCAGAAAGCTACAGGCTCACCCTCGTCACCCTAGGAGCAGTATGGTGCTCGCACACAGGTCCTCGCACACAGTAGGTGCTTAATGAATGCTGGCTTCATCCCTCTTCGCACTGAAAACTCCAAAAAGACGGTGTTAGTTTGTAGCTTTCCAAAGACATCGCACACTTCTCCAGCAGATTCCAGGCTAGCCAGATTGAGGCTGGATTCAATTTATGGAGTATTTAAAACAATACGGATACAATTATCCTTATTGTTTTAAATTATCACAATAAACTGAGTTAATATGGCATGAGGGGCAACATAAAGTTGTGGTTCATCAAATATTCGGATTAATGTTAAGCATGAATTGATGACCAATTAACACTTTTTCATTAATTTTCATAGGATTAGGAGACAATGGAATACACTCAACACCAAAACTATACCCAATCCAGTGTGGGTCTTGGAAAAATGAAATATTTGGAAAATCTCCACACCACCCAAAAGCCTTGGGTGACCAGACTCTCAATCTCCCTGTCCCCTAAATTGGGATAATCCCTCCTTGACAGGCTCGATGGGGTTGGGGTGAGGAGTTGAAGTGAACCAATGTTGTAAAAGTCCCTTTTTCATTGTAAACCTATATGGGTCGTTGTTTATGATCAATCACTACTCACTATGATTTTTAGAAGGTGCTTACAGGCTTTAAACCACAAACCGGAGCATTTCCCGTCACTCCAAGCTGCTTTCCAAATCATCTGGGGTGTCATGTATCGAAGAGCCAGTTGTTATGACGATAATTGTTTATCATGATTATTCTCGATAACAAAATGCAGACCACAAGAGCTAATTAGATTGTGTTGTGGATTTTTACAATGGAACCACAGGCCATCCTAGGTAGAAAGGCCTTGCCCCATCCAACCCCTCCGCTCATTTTACATCAGGGTCTCAGAAGTGCCAAACTCAGCAGTCTACACCCCAGCCAGCCTGTCCTTTCCTCAGGGGGGCTGTGCCTCAGTCCAGTGCGGTTTGGCTCTGCCGCTGCATATTTACTGTGTCCTTCACGAGGCGTGAGTGCGGAGCCCTTCTTCCCTGGTGTAGACCTATGCAAGCTGACGCTTACTGAACTGATTTGAAACCCTGAGAGGGGCTATCGCTACAGTTACAAAGTCGGTGGCTGAGAAAGAACTATATTTCGAGTCCACGTTACTACGTTGTTTTTACTTATTTATTTTTAATTTATAGGCAGTATCGTTTATGCTTCTTGGTCTATAATTTTATGAGTTTTTACATATGCAGAGTCATGTAACCACCACAATCAAGATGCAGAACCGTTTCATTGTCCCAAAAACACTCCCTCGTCCTGCCCCTTCACACTACATTATTTGTAATAGCTTATTATTATTATTGTTGTTGTGATTACTATGCATTTCTTCTCCAGCTCACTCACTCAGTGTAGCCCCTACATCAGGAGAATTCCAGCAGCACAGTGTCAGTCCTCATCCCTCTTAAAGTCTCAACAGCCCATGACAATGTCGGACACTCCCTTCTTGAAACTCAATCTTCCAGGATGGGTTTAAATATCACGTACATGCTGATGCCGCTCAAATTAAAATCTTCAGCCCTGACCTTCCCAGCAGCTCCAGGCTCTAGTCAATTTTCCGTTCAACATCTCCACTTAGCTTTCCTAAAGGCACCCCAAACTCACCATGTCCACAACTACATGCATGTTCTTTTCCCCTAAATCTGAACCTCTTCTAGGGGTCCCTCCATCAGTGAAGAGACCCCAGCCATCCTAGAGAGCCTCTTCCTCACCCGGTCCCATGTGCAATCCATTATGAGGGTCTGTGGATTTCACCTCCTAAGTATCTCTCAAATCCACCTTTCTCACTGCTGCATCCCAGATCTCCCACTTGAGGCCCTGCAACATCCTCCAAAACAGTGTTCCAGCATCTACTCTTACAATACTGATGTGGCTGGAAATCTTGCCCACACCTCTCTGCCAGGGTAGAATGCCCCCTGGCACGCACTGTTACCCTGCCAGAACATCCTCTGTGTACCTTACCCTGTGATCATTTGCTTTATTGCCCGTCTCCTCCACCACGCCGTAAACTCCCATCCCTTTCTGCTCTCCATGTCCCAACACAGTGCCTGCTGGTGCACGGTTGACATTCAATAAGTAATTATTGAATGAATAAATGAATGAGTGAATGGACAAATGAACAAATGAAGGTCAATGTTTAATTTCATTCTAGAAGTTTTTGGATTCATGTTTATGAGTCAAATTGGCTGCACTTTCCCCTTTTCATATTGCCTTTGTCTGGTTATACTAGCCTCATAAAATGAACTGGTAAATGTTCCTTCTTTTTCCATTTTCTGGGACAGTGTGTATAAGATTGGAATTATGTGTTCCTCGAATGTTTGGTAGAACTTGCCGGTAAATGTCTGGGTCTGGGATAGACATTTCGTGGGTTGATTTTTAACTACTGATTCTGTTTCTTTAATGGTTATAGATCTCTTCAAGTTTTCTATTCTTGAATCCATTTTTATACACTATTTTTTCAAGGAAATTATCCATACCATCTAGGTTTTCAAACTGACAAAATGCTATTCAGAGTTTTCTCTTTATGTATTTTAATCTCTGCTGTATCTATCCATAATGTTAATTTTTTTCATTCCAAATAGTATTTTATACATATCTTCTCTAATCTAGATCAGTTGTGCCAGAGATCTGTCTTTTTTTTTAACTAGTATTGTGTTTCTACTTTCTATTAGTATTTTCAAAGAATCAGATTTCAGTCTTAACACTGCTTCTTTTTCTGATTCAGTAATTTTTGTTTTATATATTATTATATATTATATTCTTATTTGTACTATATAAGTATATATAATATATGGCATACTATATATAAGAATATAATATATTATGGAATATCATTAATAATATATATCATATATTGTTCCCTTCCTTCTGCTCTTTTCAGATTTATTTTGTTTCTATTTTTTTAATTTCTTGAATTGGTGACTTAGGAAATTAAATTTTAGCCATCTGTTTTCTGATTTTTACATTTAAGACTACAGATTTCCCTCTAGGTACCACTCGAACTACATTCCACAAGATATGTAGACTTTTTATTATCATTTAGGTAAAAAGAAGTTTAGATTTCAGATGTGATTTCTTCTTTGACCAATGAATCCATACAGGTGGATTTTAAGGGTGCTCGAAGTTATTTTTTAGCTATTAATGTCTAACTTAACTGAATTAGGGTCAAAGAATATGGTATATATGAAGCAGATTCTTTGTTATTTATTGAAACTTGCATTGGTACATGGTCAATTTTTATAAATATTTCAGGTGGTTTTGAAAAGAATATATATGCCTTCATTGTTAAGTATAGCATTCTATGTGGGTCTATTATTAATAGATCAAGCTTTTTAATTGTGTTAACCTAGATTTTCTATAGCCTTACTAATATTTTGTCTATTTGAGCTATCACTTTTTGTAGTGATACATTAAAATTTGTATATGACTGGATTTGCCAATTTCTCCTGTAAATCTCTCACATTTTAGTCTATATTTCAAAAGTATGTTATCAGGTGCATCAGAAAGAACTGTTAAAATCTCCCACTGTAACTGTGCATTTTCTACTTCTTTTACTTTTTGCTTTGTATATTTTGACAGCATATTATTAAGTGCATACAAGCTTAGATTTACTGTTTTCCTAGTGAATTGTTCCTTTAATGTTGGCACAGTTGATCTTTATCACTAATGCTTTTTGCTTTAAAGTCGGCTTTGTCTGTGATAACTGTAAGTACTCT